TTATCCTACCTACACTAGTAGCTAGAGTTGCCGTGGGAATTACAACACCACACATGGCACCAGCTCACAAAAGTGGGTCGCATCGTCCTTAAGTACCAACAAGTACTTGTAATCACCGTAGGAGTCATCTAGTGTCACATAGTCCCAATGCAAAGCTCCGTTTCGTTCATTGCACCGAAATGTATCAGCCCACGGTCGTATATCTATCTTCTAACCCCCCCCCCCAATGCTGGCATAGGAGGAAGCCAGCAAGGAAATACTTTACCGTAGCTGAGAGATTCCGTATAAAAAACCTCCGGTTCACCACGTTCAGTAGCGCTTCACGACCCCAATGTCCCTGTGCTCCACAGTGAGCGATCACTAGCAGCCGTTCCACGAGCCCATTCTCATTAGACGGGACCCAAATCCGGTCACGACTGCACACTAGACCCGCACGTGTCGGGCAAGGCCCTTCAGGCGATCAACAATGTGTCGTTGTTGAGCTGCACACAGTTCATCTACGGTCGGCCATGCAAAGTTCTTCCCATCACTAAACGGTCGAATCGGCACCGGGATAACGTTTCGTCTACCGGCAGGTTTGTCACTTTGATCCTCATCACGTTGACGCCGCAAGGTAACGTGTTTCACTGCTACACTGGGTGCGGAACGTGCTCCTGCCCAGCGAGATGCCATATCAGTCCAAGTGTTGTGTGTCCCTTCAATATGTTCGATAGTGTAGCGATACACCATCAACTTCATTGATCATCTCAACAGTTTTCCACGAACATGTTTCTTCACTTCATGGCCTGGAGCGAAGACGTGTATCAGGTTGCGGTGGTCGCAATACATGCGAAATCCACGTGGCCGTAGCAACAAATCGCTGAGCTTGTCACAAGCCATGACAATAGGGTAGACTTCTTTCTCTATGACACTCCAATTCATTTGTGCGCCAGTGAAAGTACCACCAAGACAGATAAGCAGCTCGTGTTGCTGGTCCTGGATGTCTGCATCACTTATCCAATTTGGCACTTGCGATACAATCACTGACCATCCAATGTCTGAGGCATCCGTCACCAAAACCGTCTCACTGTCTGGCTTTGGGAACGCCAGGGTGATCGTGTCGGCCTGATTTTGCTTCACCGCATCATACGCCTCGCATTACTGCTCGGTAAGTATGATCGGTATACCCGCTGCCACTCGCTTGGTCCGCCGAGTGGCCTGAGCAATCGTCGGCGCCGGAATCCAAGAGCAGGTCCGCTTTTTCGTTGTTGATTTTCCCTCCAGTCTTGG